CTGACCCTAAGTGCCGAGTACAGGACAAAATGTGCAGCTCCACTGACAAGTGGTGGTTTCTCCATATTAGTGAAAAATTCTCCACGTTAAACAATATACAATCAATCAATCAACCAATCGAAGATGTGTTTTGTCGACTTGTTTAATGTTTTTTAAAATGAATTTACAATGTTATATAAAAAAAAATGTTCGTAATAAGTTAAATACACTTAAAATTTTGGAAAATAATAAAAAAAAAAACTCTAAAGAAATTTACGTAATTTGATATCCAATGTTTTTTTTTCTTTTCATTTCACTTTATAAGTTATCACTATCATTCCTACGTTTTGTATTAATACAGTTTGCTATTTAAAATTCGATATGTAAAATAAATACGCATGGCCACATTTAACTCTGGTCCTGTAGTTGTTGTGCATGGTAATTTATTTCCGTAATTTATCTGGTAAAAGGAGTTGCCAGGTCATTTTACTATCTCTTGAAACTGTAATTTATTCTTTATACATATATTGCAGGTTTTTTGTAATTGGTCTGTAACAATTACAAAATGTACTTTAAAAGAGTCTTTTTAGGTGTAAGAAAGAAGTTATTTTTGTATATTGCAAAGAGGTTATGTTTATAAACCCAGGGCTGACCTAGTTTTAAGGACACCAGGCCTTAAACTATTGGCGGATGAGGAGACAGGGGCCAACGAAAGTTAATTGTGGAGTCCGTGGTGCAAAATTGAGAACAAATTCCGTCATCAATTCACTGTTACGCTTTAAGATAAATAAATTGTTAAAAACATTATATGGAAGGGGCTCTGTGTGGTGCAGTTGTTAGATTGTCTGTTCTAGAATCAAGAAGTAAAGAGCTCTTACTTACGTAGCGGGTTTTGTATCTTACAGTGGGACATGGAGCCCGCAGTCCGTTATATGAGGCCGTATAAACCGAGGTGTGTTGCAGTGGGTGCTAGCACGAAAAAGATCCCTCGCTTCTCAATGACACTAAGTGCCAAGCATAAGTTAGAATGTGATGCTCTCCACCGGCAAGTGGTGGCTTCTCCATATGAATAATTTCGAGAGAGCCGCTAAACAACAAACAAACATTATATGGAAGGGAATCTGTTCATGTCAAAAAAGCTTGTCTGCAGGTTGATTCAGTGTTAAGTATTTTTTTTAAACAGAAACCAATTTTATAACTCTAACAAAATTAGATCTTGTTTAAATATAAAGTATATAAAAGTTTTAAATCAAGCAAATTCTACACTTGTAGAGAACACATATCTACGTACTGTGGCACAGGGCCTCAGTTAATACGGTCTTATCCTAATTACCAGTCTCCAATTCCCACAGTGGCATCTGGACCCGAAACATAAGAATCATAGGATTAATCCGCGATGCTGGAGAAGACACTCATATACTACTGCGCCATGCAGGATAAATTTTAAAAGAAAGTTTAAATATAAGTTTAAATTTTGCAATCATTGCACCCAACGTTTACTCCAAAGATGCATTTCGTTTCAACGGAGAACTACCTTCAAAGTGATCAGGAAGAACTATAAGCTGCAAAAAAAAAGTTTTAGTGCTTACATTTAATAAAAATATAATGTACGAGCGTATTTGTATAAGACGTCATCTAGTTTTTTTTTAATAAGATTTGTTTGGTTTTTGTCTTGCTTGGGCATTTCGGTTTAATTAACTGATAAAGTTGTCCAAGTTATTTTATCACGAGTATCAATTGAAATAATGCATTTTGAAAGATGAAGATAAAACTACACTCTTGAGTGAAATCTTTTCTTTTTTTTTAGAATCTAATTGTTTAAAGGAATCAATTAACACAAATATTTTAGTACATGTATTCACTGATAGCAAAATATTAATGAGGCAGATTATTTTGTTTGATAAAATACTTCTCCATTTTTTCATTCATTTTTTTTACCGCAAACACTCACTTTGGCAATCTAATTAAACATAAATCAGAAATAAAGTGAGAAATGATTAAATATCAGCAGCTTTTAATACATTTCTAGGAAATCTTTAAACACCAAAAGTAAACATCTGGATGATGTAGACGGCAGTGGTATATGGATACAATGAAAGAAATTGGAATTATTATCAATGTGATTGTATGCTGTATCAATGGTAAATACTCTCTCTCTCTCTCTCATACTGTTTTATCTTCCTAGAAAACCATGATTAATTTTAAACCTATTCAAATGTATAAGATGTAATAATTCACGTGACATGTAAAATGCAGAAGCAGAAGAAGGCATGGGATATTTTATTGAATACTGGATTGTTTTAAATCCTTGTTGTTGGATGAAATGTGAGTGTAACATTTGCTTTCTTTTTTTTATGATTTGTAGTCAAAGGAAACATTGAGACATATAACTGGTTTGATGCACAACAATTGTGTCGAAATTCTAGCAAACGTTTAACAACTAATGCATCGGGTTCAATGGATTTTATCTGGACTGGAAGACATAAAAGGTTTTCTCAGTGGATAAAAATATTAGGTAGTATTTTTGGTACATACCCTCTGTTCGATGAGATTTTTAAACGATATCTTTCAACAAGTTGTAATTTGGTTATGCACTAATTTGATTGATAACTTATTAAAATACGTATAACTGAGAAGAAAAAAACCTGTTGTGGACTTCAACTCGATATTTAAGATATATCGACGACTTATTAAATTGTATTTAAATAATAGTTACTCCATCCTTCTGTAGGGAAATACATGCGAGTGAACTTTAGCATGTTGAAACATACACGGCAAAATCAACAATATCTGTTTCTTAAGTAAATATTTTACTGAAACATCAAATTACGGAGGTATTCAATATTCAAGAACAAAAATCTATTAAACAACACAAAGTAGGAGCAGATCAAACACTGACATCTTAAACATCAGAGATGGTATCTGGTGCCATGGAGGAATTAAAATCTCCTGCAGCTGCCGAAAAGTCACTGTCTTCTAGTCCTCCATATGTCACAATTGGGAAATAACGAAAAATTCCGTCGTCAATTCAGTGTATAAAAAAGATGCTAACAATTAGTTTGAAAGCGTCATTAAGCATTCAACTCAATGATAAATTGTATATGCTGACAAGATCATTGGCCATAAAACTTACGAAATGATGATTTTTGAACGAGACTATTTCTATTCTTGTTTCATCACTTTGTTTATCAATAACTTTCCTCGTTTTATAAATTGTTCATACGTAGAGCATGCTCTTATGTATCGAAGCAACTGAAACTAATAAACTCCGTATGCAGGTATATTATTACGTAAGTAAGAGAAGATGTTGATGTTTTACTGATGATAGATGATAAGTTAAACAACCACAATATTGTATGTCAAATGGAATTAGTTCTTTTTTTCTATCGTCAACTTTCCATGTTTATGTAGTAATATCCCACTTTAAACTGAAGATGGTATTTAGATTACCCAATTTATTCAAAAGTCAAGAACATGCATCAATTCAAGTATGATTAATTGTTTTCAACCATGACAGCCACTTGCAGATTTAATGTTACAAGGATTTCAACATTCCTTTTTAAAGACAACATCAGTATATTCTATTTTTGGTTCAAGTATCTTGAAAGCGAATATTATCTTCCATTTGGCAATTTGTTGGCTGTCCTGTTTCAAACCAGATCTTTTTTTCTTTTTTGTTTATATACAAAATGGTTATTTGTTCTGTATATTTGATCTATACTTGGGACCCACGGCAGAATGTGGCTTTTCAACAGCGGATGCTTACTCTCCATGGCCATGATATCCCACCTAATTAGGGGTCCGTGATTTATATTCTGCTCACAAATCTGCATTTATTATATAATATAAATAAAAGTATTTGATTTTCAAGGTTGCTACAAAGATTCCAGTTTACGAGGTGGACTTATAATCAACATGACAGATCTAGAATACCCTTCAATAGGACTATGCCAAGAACACTGTTTGAGACGACATTATAGTGTTTATGCTATGAAGGTTTGCAGCGTTTGGCATTCATTTTTTGTATAATAAGTTAATTCATAATTATATTTGACTTTCTGATTAATTCCTTATTTTCACATCTAAATACAATCAAAATAAAATATAAAATAGCTATTTAAATACACAAAAGTCAAACAGGAATACGGTTATGGTAATATTGATGAGATTCTTAACAAAATATTTAGGCTACAGAATGTGTATGTCTTCAAAAAGATTTCAAAGGAATTCACCTTCCCTGGGATGAGTGCGATAGACATTGTTTAAATGAGAATGATGATATCTTGTCTACTGAATGTGGCGGAAAGGAAGCTTTTAATGTGTTTTCAACCGAAACTGGTATTTCCGATTATCTTAAGATTTTTAAAAAGTTTAAATAAGTCATAAATTAAAGCAAAAGTAAACTAGTACTATATTTGATATTCTAACAATGTAAAATCTTCACTATACACGATTATATTATTCAATATCATTGACTACAAAATATTTTGAAAAAAAATGATGTTTTATTCAAAATAAATTAAATATAGGTAATCAATTTACGGATGTAGACAAACAATGCATCGCCCTGCTGTGTGAGGAGGACTTTTCTAGATTTAAGCCACTTGACTGTTCTGATCCCTTGGAAATGATTTGCAGTATTTCTGGTAGATTTAGAATGAAAGGAATTAATGTACTTTTTTTCTAAATTTTAAATACTACATGAATTAATAAGTTATTTGATGTATGCACATTACAACATTTTCAATATAAAATAAAAGCATACATTTTGATTAATTTTGAGAATCGTCGAGAATTATGTTGATTTTCGACTTACCAAAAAGCATGCTTTCATTGTTTTAAAAATTCTAATTAAACATTAAGGTTACTGAGATTTTAACCATTTACCTATATAATATTGTATTTGATTTGTAGAAGTATATTCTATAAAGGGAAACTGGAGATCATCATTCCAAAAATGTAAATCTGTAAACAATACAAATCAAAACGGAATATTGGATCTTTCAAACGCTGAGGAGGCGTGTAATGTAATCAATGTTACCTCTGAGGCTCCATTGTGGGTTAGAGTTGTCCGAGAAATATATATGTCAGAAGATCAAGGTATCCAGTCTTTTTCGGCTTTTTTTTTCATGTATTCTCATATGTTCAATTTGGCATGGTAAGAAATTCAAAAGAGGAAAATAACATTGCAAGACAATTAAAAGAAGTTCATTTGCGAAATATTTGATATGTGTTCTACATGTATATTAAATATTATAATATAAAGATGAAAGACATCATGTTTAAAATAAACAGAATATTGCAGTTGTTTCTATTATCTTTTTAGGAGAATCTTTTTTTGACAAAACATTAATCACCAAATGTCAAAAATGCAAAAATAGTCATTGTGAATTTGTAACATGTTTCGAGAAGAATATTACTGAAGTAAACTGCACAGTCGTAAGTACTTGTAGATATTTACTTAAAACATGATAATACACGGATTGATCTGAAGCGTTTTTAGAGATATGTTTTCTAATGCGAGAGTTTTAACAAAATATTGTTGCAATCTTGTTAAACGAGAAAGTGATAAAGGGTTTTAAATGATTATAATGACATCATATAATCATTTCAATTATTGACTTAGAATGATGTTATAGCAAGCTTTAATTCCAGTTGAAAAAGTTATTTTACAACTTTCCCCTACATAAGATATCTATTCAGACTAATAATATGTATACATGTATATGCATCTAGGTAAATTAAGTAGAATATCACCTCATTCGCAAACATTGATCCAATAATGAAAGAAAAAAATACACGTGTATCTCATACGGTGGGAAATCAAACACTGATTTAAAGGACAATAAATTAATTAAAGACCGCAGATGCTATTTTGATAATCTTTCTGTTTTCTTTTATACATATCGCTTTAGAGAGAAATAAAATCATAATCGTTTAAAACATGCATAAAATCAGATAAGACCGAAAATCACAACATTTTGCATTTGAGTTTTTGTAACTTTTTTTATGAGTCCGTGGTTTGACATTAGTTTTCTTTTTATCTCCTGTGTACACCGAATTGATATTCACAAACACATTCACATATGACACTTCCTTTAAGAATTCTTGACAACCATTGTCACCCAGTGAATTCATAATAGAATTCTTATCAATTTTTTTTATCAGTACTCTATGACAAAGAATGAGTGCACTTTAGTACGTCATTTGGAAACTTTTCGGCTACCCATTTTAATCTTTACATTTCAATATATCGATAAATTATCCTATGGTGAAGATAGAGATTGTGTAGTTTCATCGTGCAGAAATAGTAAATGATTCTAGTGTTAAGGGATGGTGTAGATGTATCGCCCTACAGACCATAATACCGAGACGACATGGGCCTATATTTTCTAATCTCACAGCCAATACCAGAATTCTTTTAAAACACTCTTAACGAAAAATACACAGTAAAATAAGAGACATAGTTGTATAATCTTCGAACCCTGTTAAAATTTGCGAAAAAATCTTCCAAAGTTTGAAGTTGGAAGTACGATAGATACTGGCGGAATAGAAATTTCAAATGACAAACACAATAAAAAATTTAACAGCTGTTCAATAAAAGCGTTGGCGTATCGAACCCTGGAATGTCACGTGAGTAAAGTGATTATAATATCAATTGTTGACATTCGGGGACCTGTTAATTTAGTAGCAATGTAAATAAACTTGACTGACGATAGTCTGGAGACTTTTTTTAAAAAAGATTAGATACGAGCTGCAACTTGCCAAACATTGTCCTTTGGATATTTATAAGATGAGACTAATGGCCAAGTTGCGGCTCGATGTAAACAGTGTCATTGAAAACTGGTATGCATATGAATAACAATAGAAATGTGACAAAACTGTTACACCCCGTCTCAAAAGCTAGTGTCGCTCAGCATTATGTGGTACTTTCATTTAATATAATATGCCAAAACATGACATTTGGGATTTTATTTTGTGCAAAACACAAGGACCCAACTCTTATAGAATAAGTGCACTCATCCTGTATAGTTTCTCACACCGTTTTAACTGTGACACTTCTATCTTTTTTGAAAACGTAAGACCAATGAATGTTTCCGCTTGATCTCACAATTTTCGCTCTTCCAGTCCTTTGTTGAGCATTCAATGACCAATAGCCCGCCCAAAATCGCTGAAAACTTCTATAAACAAGTCTCTTATTTACATTCTGTACTCTTTGTGTCTGATTTATCATTGTAACTGTCATTAGTAGCGATTTCCCTATATGGAAGCAACAACGCAATACAGCTCCTTCCGGCGATTTTTTTTCCATGTAGACATTTTCTGTGTTCAATGCATCAGAATAAAACAGCAATATCTATGATTAATAATAACAATACCGTCATTTATTTTTCAAAAAAGATGGACAAGTTTTCTTTTTATTTTGTCTTTTAAGATATTGGGCTTTTTTTCTAATTCTAAAAATATACCATTAATTTTGCAGCAATCTCTATGTTTTAAATTTTAACATCTATTATAAGATAAATTCAATTCAACATTGTTAAACGTCATTTTCAATTTTGATTAATTTATTTTAATGCACCTTCTGGTTGATCCAAATGTAATGACACAGTGTCCATACCTTTAATATTTGGCGTCATATTATGAAATATAATGCACCAAAAGGTGCGTGAAAAATTCTTATCAAAATTGAAATTTTCATTCAATGATGTTTGATTTAATTTGTAAACGGTTAAAACATACAACATAAGGGGTGTCGCCGCGTCACAACTAAACATTACGTTTTAAAGTGTATATTGTTAGAATGAAAATAGATAAACACAGTAAAACTTTCTAAAAAGCGTCTAATCGCCCAATATTTTTAAAAACAAATTTTACGACATTTTCTAGACTTTAGTTTAAATTAAAATTACGATATTTACGACATAGGCCTAAGCATGTCGACAAGTGAAATCGACATGATCGAGAGAGGACGAAGACGGGATCGCACGTTTCAAAGCGACAGGAATGCCGAATGGCACTCCGTTAAAAGATCCAACCGACAGAAATTTTAAAACATTTTAAAAAATGCCAATTTCACAATTAGGCCTACAGTACAGGTACAATCTCGAAAGCGGTCCCCAAATATGCCAGCCAAGAGCGCCGAAGTGTGTTGACAACGTTCTATGCCAGTAGCAGTGGAAAAGCGAAAATGTAGGTTTACAATGCTTTCAAACTTATTGAAAATAGCAATGTTTATGCATTATAGATACAAAAGTTTCAAAATACATAGTATACTGTCACATCGCAAACTGAAACGTACCATAAACATGTTACATAAATGTACAGAACGTTAGGCCTAAGGGGTCTTCAGATGACTGCAGACGACATCATTGGTATTATCTTTAATTTTTATTGCAACTTTAGCTCGTAGTATATGATAAATTTCCTTTGATATTGTAAATGCAGAATATCTATCCCAAATTTATAGACACACCGTACGAAAATATCAAGATAACATCTATATTTTTTATCTGTTTACATTTAATAAGAAACTAGGTTGCTTCATTCTACGGCAGCCTGTGCGGGTTAAAAAAATAGAATATTTTTGAAACATCATGGAACATGAAGAAATTATTTGATTCTAAACTACAGGCTTGGGTTCATAAAAACAAAGTCAGATAGCCAAATAATGATTTTACATTATTTGAACAATGATATTATCAGTAATTATAATCTTTTTTTCTAAAATATTTTTTTCAGGTAAGTCTTGTTGTCACAAGAATCACAAATAAAGAACTTTAGAAGAGAACAGGGCTTAAGAACCACTAAAATCTGAGAAAACCATGCAAATCAGATTGAGAAAGTGGGACTGGATTTGATTAATCTCAGGGAAGCCACCACCCAACATCACAAACAAGGACCCAATCGGAACCCGTAGGGCAAAAGAAAGAGAGGACATCTAACAAACTATTATGAAGTTTTATGTTTTAATTGATTATTTTTTGTTCATAAAAAGCATTTCTTAACAAAATTGCAATTATTACCTGAAATTATCACAGTACATTTCAATATTTGGTGAATAAAAACACATACTTTCACGCCTAAATGCCTTGATTTATTTTCATTAGATGCTGAAAAGAAATAGGAGGTGGTGATATAAAAAATATCAAAACTTTCTTATATGTACACTTACCCCTACTTTTCATGCTATGAAAAGGAGCCATAATACCTAAAAAAAAAGTGTACAACAATTTTCTTAAAAAGTTTAATTGTAGAAATGTTTTTCTTTGGTTTTTCGAGCAATATTTTAGGGGAAAATTTGCCTAATTTTGACAGTGATGAACAACATTTTTAGGTACAAGTTATTTAATTGGTATTTATTTGCTCATATTTTGCTTTAAAGATCAACTTTGCAATACATGTACTTTTAAGTAAATCTAAGAAATAATAAGTTTAAATTGATTGTATTTATAAGTTTATGCGGTATTTTATAGCTTAATAGCATTTTTAATGAAATTTTCCAAGCTCTATTTTGGCCTATGTTCGAAGGGTACATGTAGATGAACACTAACATGCACTTTTTTGTCTTTAAATTATTCCTTGGATATTACACTTTCAGAAAAATATAAGCACGTTGAATGTTTTATGCACGTTTTTTCTTATGTATCATCAGAATACATCCTTAAAGTTTGTCTTATGGTCACGTTTAAGGTATTTTAACAGAAGACTAAATTATATGTAGAATTAGTGTACAATGGGTGCCAATAATTCTTTTTATGTACAATTGCCAATGCCAATTTATTTTGACATAATAACTAATTTATGGAACTTCTCGTTCATTAACATTTGCGTTTACTGTTGTAATTCCAACTCACAATTATTGCACTATCGCAGTATTTCAAGAAACCGCCTTCACTCTCCATTCTCATAAACAACAAGACATTTAGGTATGTGGCATTTTGCCGCTAATGTGACTTTAATTAGAGAACATACTGGTAATTAATTATGTAATAATTGATCTTGAAATCCATAAAATTATCAATAAACAACTCATTATCTGTATCAAAAATTTACAACAGAATGAAACCGAACTATGAATATGATTAACATGTAAACCGTCATTACATGATATATTACGTAATTGATTCCATAATATAGTAAACGTTCTTGTGGTCTGAAACCGCCAAAAACGACTAAAAAACACATTAAAAACCAAGAAAAGAAGACAGACAAAACTGGACAACCTTAAAAAAACAGGAAAAGGTGGAGGGGTGGAGGCGGCTATCTGGACGACCGGGTACTGATTTTTACCGCGCACTATTTTCATTCGGCGTTTACTAAATGTGTTCATTTCCAAGAATCACTTGCATCTGCCTCTCCTAATTTGGACACGGCAAAAACTTTCCTACGATATGACAAGCGCAATAACACGCAGAGCATTCCAATGTACATAGAATATTTTAAGTAAAACTTAAAATTCATTTTAAAATGTAAAATATGTGAATATATTTGTGATTCTCAAATATTTTTAATAAAACGAATAGAAACTGCTTAAGTGTATAAGTCTACTACCATCATTGCACTTTGTATATAATTCGATATTATAGGTATAAATCATTTTTATTTGAATTTTTTTGAAAGACTGATTTGTGATAAATTCAGCTTCGATCGTGTATATTATTTTTTTTATTTAGCAATTTTATTGAAGTTGTGACATTAATTTTGGATCAACTCTCGTATTTGATAACACAACATCGAATATTAAAATATATGGACACCATGACATTACTTTTGGATCAACACTCGTATTTCATATGATCAGAAATGAATGAAATGATAACATTGACAGAATGTCATTGATTTTTTTACACTTCTGACATTTTCACGTTATGAATAAAGTCATTAAAAGTCTGAGAATGATAATATATGACAACTAATTACAATCATTTGAGTGAAAACTTGTACCTGAACTTTTTGTACGCACCTAAATGTAGACATATACTTTTATAAAGTATAAGCTACGGTTTCAATACAAATTTAGCCCTGTAACTTTCGAAATTTTAGAACTAATGTGATGAACTCAAATTCATCTTATCCGAATTAGATTAACTGTATTCTAAAAATTCTAATTGGTTTTCAAAAAACCTTCATATTGCTAATTGTGAAGTCGTGAACTTTATCATTTCTCTAATTTTTTATTTAAAGTTGCAAAAGACATCAATTTTCAGTAGAGTTTCCTTCAAGAAAACATAAATATTCAAATATTGAAATGGGCGACAGCTGTGGACTCTATTTTCTTAAGGAAAATAACGTTACCAAGGAAATTAGTCATTTTGGGGGTTTCTTCATGAAATTTATTTACCAAGCCAATGAAAAAAATTTAAATGTTTCCATTAAGATCCTCCTCCATGCTTTATTTATGAATGATCTATTATATCCATCTACTCAACTCATGTTAAAACCGATTTCATAACTTTTTAAAAACATTATATCGTAAGGGCACAATTACAACCAAACAGTACCTTCCTCTTTTACAGCAGATGTACTGGTAAACGGATTTTATCCAGAGTATATATATTTATTTACAGCTACATGTATCTACAGAAATTCCGAACAGTGAACCCCCAGCTGAGTCAAGTAAGTATACGAAGAGGAATTGTATATTTTGGAAGTAATACATTTCTAATTTTGTAAAAAAAATATCACTAATGTGTGAATAATACATGTATATATATATGTTCCAATGAAATATTAGATACCCTTTTAATTACTTAAATGAAACTTTAAACTTTTAGGTTTAGATATCAGATTAATCATTGGTCCAGCAACAGCTGCCTTTGTCCTTGGAACTGTAATCATCATCCTTTTGATTCTCTGTAGAAGGTATTGAAATGCTTTGAAATAATTTATATAATTGTAATAGTTTCGCTTGGAAACCGTTAACGTATCAATATATGGACAACTGTGAAACAAGAATTAATCAATCAATTTTCTACACTTGCAATTGATTAGAATATTTTTAAAATTAAGTTCATTTTATTTTCAATATTAACATTACCAATATGCACAAACAGTCTTTCCCATTTCAGAGAAAGACGACAACCTAAAACAAACGAAACCCCAGCAACCAAACCAGACTACGAAATAGTACAAAAAAGAAAGATTTCAAATAAAAACAAACGCTATACAAAAGATGATATTCGTCATCTTGGGCACTCAAATCCAAGTTATATTGAGACCACCGGGGTCGTCAAGGAACAAGAGAATCCCAACTGTTCCAATAAAGATGGAGATTATGATGAACTTCATCAGTCAAAGTCCCGAAAAATAGAGAGATCTGATATATTCCATTACTCTCTTCACCTTCCTCCCACATATGACATTCCTCATCAAGAAGAAAAGAAGGAGACTATTGTAGAATCTGGTTACGATGTGGCCTTCACAAACAGAATTTCAAAAATCGAATTGTCGAAATGTCATCAAGAAAATGTTTAATTGTTTATTGAATTTTATTTTTTAAAAATGCGTCATAAGTCGAAAAGCTATCTTTTTAATCAAAATTTTGCAATAAGTATTGTAAATTTGAATCTGTTGGCTTACTTAATTTACATGCATTTTCTTATTCATAATCTATGCAGTTTATGCAGGTATAACAGATCTGTATTGACACATGTATCCTCCCAGTAAATGTAATAAATGTTTATCAACAGACGACTAAATTTTATATAATTCCAGGAAATGAGAAAGTTGCTCCCAGCACTTTTTTGGGTTACGAAATTTGTCTTAAAGAAAATACAATCAATTTTTTTATTGAAAAATTATCCGTACATCGTTGAACTTTTATGATCCTTATATCCATGCATATTTTTTCCTAATTTTATCGATGTCCCGTGACAAACAGCTGATGTACATGAAATCGCTTCGGTCAAACTCTTTTGAGACGCCATACTGACATATGCATTAGTACAATTACCATTAAATTAAAACTCATGTCAATAAAAAAGATATCAACATTATATTGATTTTCTTGGTTTATTTAAGGCATATTTCTTATGGGCGTCCTTAACCTAGCTGCTAACATAAAGAATTAATCTTCGTTCATGCTTCCTAATTTTATATCAATATAATTTTTCTGAAAGTATTTTGTTTTTGCTTCTGTGCTTCTTGAAACTTTTTTGTCAAGTGAATATTGTTTATTTAAAAATAAATCACTTTGGCAAAATGCAAACTTAAGCAATGGGATGGTTTAAAGCTGCATAGACACATGTTTGAAGTAAATGATACCACTCATATGAATATAATTGGAGTGTCCATGTTTCCTTGTGGGAAACCTAAAATATGTGTCAGATCAAAATGAAAAAAAATGGCAATATCTAATACAGATTATGTTACACCGAGTCGGGGGTGGGGGGGGGTATAATAATTCTTAGTGAATTTCGCAATTATCTTTCAGTGACTTTAATGACATGACATTGGGTCAGGACTACATGTGTATGAGATGCCGTTCATTAGCAATCTTACTTCTATCTAGATTTCTGAGCACGCCAAGGTCAAATCGATCAATCTTTGTGACAAGTCTTAATTTCTGATGTCCTCCATTCAGGATATATAAAGTCTTTGCAATAGGTAAATATATGTTTTGTATTTTATGTATGCATTGTGTTGTGATTGCCTACGTGACGTTTCACTATGCTAAATTGAGACCCCTCAACCGTGTTTAGTCGTTAATTCATTTACGCCACGGTAAAGTAAAAGTATACGAGCTGTTTCATTTTTTCATGTCAAAAAATTATAATAATCTGTTATGTGTAACTACATTATATATCGATTTTTGGAATGAAAAGGAAGTGGCAAATTTTGATCATTTTCAAATCAAATAATTTATTTTTCACTGCAACAAAAAATATAACACTCTCTGATATAAAACTAAAAATAAATAATTTTCATTGTAGCGAGGACCGTTAAATGATGTTCTCTAAAGATATTCTATAAACTCTACCCAACTCCCCTTTCTGTGCCTAATTACTGCGAGACTTTTTAGCTCACCTAAGCCGAAATTTCAAGTGAGCTTTTCTGATCACATTTTGTCCGTCGTCCGTCCGTCCGTCTAGCTGTCTGTCCGTCCGTCTGTCAAGCTGTCGATCTGTCCGTCTGTAAACTTTTCACATTTTCGACTTCTTCTCAAGAACCACTGGGCCAATTTAAACCAAACTTGATACAAAGCATTTTTAGGTTAAGGAAAATTTAAATTGTTAAAATGAAGGGGCCGGGTCCTCTCACAATTTGAGATAATCATGAAAAAACAAAAATAGGGTGGGATCATTAAAAAGAACGACTGGGCCAGAAAAACTGAAACTTATGTGGAAGTATCCTGGAGTAGTGTAAATTCTTAATTGTTGAAAACATGACCCCCAGGGATTGGGCGGGTCTACAATAGGGAATCAAAGTTTTACATAGAAATATATAGGAACAATCTTTTAAAATTTTCCTCTCAAGAACCATTGGGTCAGAAAAGCTTAAACTTATGTGAAAACATCCAGGGGTGGTGTAAATTCTAAATTGTTCAAATCGTGACCCCCGGGGGTCGGGCGGGTCCACAATAGGGTATCAAAGTTTAACATAGAAATTTAAACGAATAATCTTTAAAAATGTTGTACTCACGAACCACTGGGTCAGAAAAGCTAATACTTATGTGTAAGGATCCTGGGATAGCGTCGATCCTAAATTGTTCAAATCAATACCCCCGGGGGTTGGGTGGGACCACAATAGATAACGAAAGTTTTACATCAAAATATACAGGAAAAATCTGTTAAAATCTTCTTCCCAAAAACCACTGGACCAGAGAAGCTGAAACTTATGTGGAAGCATACTGGGGTGGTGTAGATTCTAAATTGTTCAAAGTTTGACCTGTGGGGTAAGATTGGGTCACAATAGGCATTACAATGGGGAAACCTGGTTAAGAATAGCAAAGTTAAAGCTTCTCAGGTGAGCGATGTGGCCCATGCCTCTTGTATATGCTCAACATCGTAGGATATCAGAAAAGAATTATAATTTAAGTTACAATGATGTCAACTATATGTCAAGTAACGTTTTAAATGCGCATGTACGTGCAAAATGATTATGATATTTTGTCTAAATGATAAACATATCTACATATCCTTAAATAAAAAAAATCCTAAAAATATAAATTTTATTGTTTTTCAAATATATGTCATCTGAGAAATTGCATGTGCGCCCCTGCATCTATGCCCATGTCTTCAGTTTTTTGATAGTAGCATAATGTAGGAATCTCTTTTACCTGTGAAAAGCCTTTTCTATAATCACTTAAACATCCTTGCCACGCATGGTCACCGACTTTCACGAACTTCAAGCATAACCAGTACTTGACACCAGTAACATATATCACATATTTTTTGTTGCCATGTGTCTCGGTTACCATGGTAACAGCCGGGAAATTTTTCATTAATTCAGATTTTCAGCTATTTTAAATCTTTACTAAGCCTTAATAAAACCTAGCAAGAGCAAACAAACCACTCTCACAAAAACACCAAATTTGTTGCCACTTATGTTGTTAAGAAACTGTTCAGAAATATTTCAATAAGTACCAGTAAGTGGTAACCAGAATACATCCCAAATACATTTAAAATGCTAAAATATGCTGAAAAACGTTCAGTATTCACAAATGGTAGAGTAACTTGCACAAACTCTATCAAAAAATCAAGAAAAACAATGAAAATGTTTGACCCTATGGATATAGGTGTAAGGAATATTATTCTATGAAAAAAAAATTATCGTTGCCATGGTAACACAGTGTAACCAAGCAAAATTAGTAACTAAGATGGGGTTAATAATATTGTCCTGACGAAAAAACATGAAAATTCAAGATTGGCAAATGTGCATCCTAAGGACCTTGCATCACCAATACAGCAAAACGTGTTTAGTACTAACACATATATTGTGAATTTACGAAAAAAGCGAAGTTAACTTGGATCCCCAGGAATATAGATTTAGCATATTCCTTATACAAATTTAACAAATTAAGGATATAGCGATGTAATTTCATAGGTCCCAGTGACTTTGGTTTTACCGGATTTTACTGTTCCATAAGAAAAATTGGGATTATTGCTACTTAAAGTTTGAAGTGTTACAAAGGAAACACAGTGAAAGATTTTAAAAGTGGTATCTTTTTGCTGCATTAAGAATGTACTTTCAATTAAATCAAAAAATATATTATATGACTTACCTTAAATATTACCTATCTGGAAGAACTAAAATTGAATATCATTGTTATAAAGTTTGATGAAAAAAAGCAACGCAGTTGCTATGGTTACCAAAGGGGGAAAGAAGTTCGATTTTGAAAACTTTACATCAATTTTAATCTCTGTGTGCCAGTTTCTTGCATCCAGTTACATATTTGATGATAGTCAAAATGAAAAGTCAGGATGAGTCTTAAAAAATATCAGTTATAAAAGTTTTGGGAATCTATATTTAAGAGTACGTTTCCAAGGAAACAAAATATTTTTCACATTTTTAGCATATTTTTCTGCCTATTTCCATATCACCGCTCTATTTGAAGAATCTGATTCGAATTTTTGAATTGGGACCACACAAATTCCTATAAAAATTGATCATCAATTATAAGAAAATGTGCTTTTTAAAAGATAAAATAAGATTTAGGCATAAAGTGTGTAAATTTGAAGGCTCTCTATGGTATAAAAACCATGGCAACCATTGCAAACAAAAATGAATTATCAAAATATTTGTTCTTTGAATATGTTTAAAGGCTTTTTTCTCTATTATTTGGACACATTTTATCCTATAATTACCTTTTTACGTGTGTGACTTTATTAAATTCAATGAATATTTTTGTTTTACTTTTGAATACATTGAAGCCATGGTATCAAATGTAATAGTTGAATTACCAAACATGTTTATCATGCATTTAAGACAACAAACCTTCAACTTTAGGAAGCAATCATTTCCAATAGCTGTAGAACCTTGTAATTAATGACTATGTTTAAAATGAAAGTTACTTTTCAAAAAAGGAAAGATGGTTATACTTTTGTTTCAGTCAATCAAAGCAAAGCACACGTGAGCGCGCGTGCGTTCATGCTATTTTGACCTTATAATCATTTCTACACTACTTATATATCCAATATACGTATTATAAAATTCAAATACAGTTGATAAAAAAAATAAGAAAAAAAGTTACAGATGTATTAAATATATTGGTAATTTGACGTCTTATACGTGGGCGCAAATATACATAAAAATGCTTCTTAATTCTAAAAATGGTTTCAGTTTAATCGTATCAGTAGTTTATTAGATCACTCACGGACACAAAAGTACGAAAGATTGATTGATTGATTGTATATTGTTTAATGTCCCTCTCGAGAACTTTTCACTTATATGGAGACGTCACCACTTGCCGGTGGGGAGCTGCAAATTTTTGTCCTATACTCGGCACTCAGGGTCATTGGGCAGGGAGGGATCTTTTTCTTGCAGGCACATACTGCGACGCGATACCTCGGTTTATACGGTCTCATCCGAAGGACCGGTCTCCACGTCTCACACTGCGATTCGAACCCACGACAAAAGTACGGAAGAAGAAGAAATAGAGGAAATACATAATGTTCCTCAAGATCGTTTTGGAAACATATTAAGGACAGATGATACAAACAATTTTTTTTGGAGGAGATTTAATACATGTATCATGTCACGAGTTTAGAAAAGTGGATAATTCTTAGAATTTTTTCTCCTATGATCTGGTAAATGAAATAGACTTGGAAAATATTAGTTCCCTTTTCCTCATAAAATTCACCTGGCTTGGGTATTTTTTTCTATAGTTTATATTGCACTTTAAGCACCAAGGTAACATATTCTGAGATTTGTTTTCACCTGTAAACCTTTCTGAGTGTGATTTGTCTATATTTGTTTTTTTTATTGGAATATGACTAATATTTCCCAAGTGTATTTCATTTCTCAGTCCTTAGGAGAAAAAAAAAATAAGAAGTATCCTTTTTTCTAAACTTGTACATGATATTTAGTCTCCTTCACAGAAAAAAAATGTTTGTATCATATGTCCTTAATATGTTTCCAAAACGATCTTGAGGAACATGTTGTATTTCCTCTAAAAAGAGACTTTTTATAAATTAAGAGCCATATTCAATTTTGAAATATTCAATACGTTAATATTGTAAAAATCAAACATCACGTCTTAGAAAATACAACTTTGCACGATTTACAATTTCACAGTGTTTAATTAGCGATGAATGATTCTGGTCTTTTGGGTATATCACTTTTTGCCAAAATAGACCAGACTAACCGAGCGTGCCTCGGGGTAGTCCAATTAATTTAATTTAAAAAAATACTAAACATCAAAATACACAATCATTATGTAAAACTGTAAATAAATAGGCTCTAGGGGCGTACTTGAATTTTTATGATTTTTAACGTGTGGTTATGTTAGGGTACAAGGCGTCCCAAAACTTTGACATTTTTTTTTAATTGTTCGATCCATTTATCATTTGAATTGATTTATATAAGCCTGAGTTTATAGTTAGCAAAAAAATCGTGACGTATATGAATCCCATTTATGGGTCACATTTCCTTAAAAACGTATGCCATATATCTAATAAACAGGAAGTTTATTTGCTGTATATAGATATGTACACAACAAATGAACGTTAAAACTTACAGTTTGATGGAGAGAATCGTGTATAACGTGTTTACAACAACTTTTAAATGCGTTATACAATTATAGGTGAGAACACTGCTATTCGATTTGAGGTAAGATATCATTGGACAGCTTCATTAATATATTACAAAAAATGTATTTATTACATAAAATAATAAACTTCATTCTGATTACCTTTTTAAGAAACTCTAAAAATCTTCAACATTGAAAGAATTAGCGTAACAACCGTTTAAATAGAAAAGACGCTAATCACAATTTTTATTTTCAATATAGGTTGGTAAAGATGTGCGTACATGTAATACTAGTATGAAATACACCGGAATAAGATCATCAGTGCTTGTGTACTTTCTGCTCATATCATTTACTGGTAAGTAGATTTGAAACATGGGATGATTTGCATAACGGGCGAGGCCCGTATAATATTATTATAAAATTAATAAATTATCCCATGTTTCCCACTATCGTTGATATCTCTGGCATACTATACTAACTAGAGAGTGATTCCTTATACTTCCATTTCATTGTGAAATAAAATTGTAGATTTATATTTGAAAATATAGACATAGATTTAAATTACACGAAGACTCCCATGCCAATTTCAATAGTCCTCGCCTACTGACGTCAAACACAAAGGCAGCCACACGAAATTTGCATTCATGTTAGGCCTCCTTAGCTCCTGACCTATCGACTTGCCTGATTTACATTCCGGTAGAATGATCAAGAAATCCATTCCGCTTACTTTTAAAGAGTTATTCACAGAGAAAAAAAATTAAAATGGAAATATTTCTCATTTTTATATTTTGTGTCTTCTAAAAAATATATGTCAGTTTAGTCATTGAAGGAGGATAAGATAAGATGTTCTAATGTTGAGAGGATTATGGAAAGAAATAAGTTAGTTGATGGATAACCGGGCCATCAAAATACTAATCGCATTAAAATAAATGAATGTATGTCAGGATTGAGGTTTAGTCTGATTTCCTTCTTCAAGGAAATATAACACAAAATGCAGATTTTTTTCAAGATTTAAAATTTATTTACTTTTCAGAGTTTATCAGTAAATCTACTCAAAAGAGATTGAATTGGTTTGAAGCCCAGAAAGTATGCATGGACAATAATACCACCCTAAAATCAGGAGATTTTCGAATTTCAACAAAAGTCTATTGGTCTGGTATATACCTTAGATATTCATCCCGGATACACATTCTCGGTATAATTTTTTTTTAAATAATGCAAAATTATAGAAAAATTTGTCGTTCTAAATAGTTTTTATTCAATGGTGTATTATTAATATTTGTACACGTAAATATAAAGGTTTTCTGGGGGAAAAGGATTTCCGTTGGTTCTAAAGAGTTTGGTGGCAAGTCAGATACATGTATGTACTTCCTCTTTTTTTTTTATTCAGGATGCTATTCAGCAGATAATAGTACGTTGAGTGTAAGTAAGACATTTGACATGAAGTTCCCTTCAGTTGGATTCTGTCAAGAGATATGTGGAACTGAAAATATACCTAAGTTTGGGATACATGTAAGCTTTACCTTATATTATGAGTGGTTTACTGTCTTTATATAATGACAATATCAAAATAGCATTATCGGTTACAAACAATTCTGGTCTGTATTAGATGATAACAAGCTAATTCAGAGAATTTGTGTACCCCTGCTTAGGGAGAAAAGAAGACCATACGCAGTTCAGGGGAGGGGGAGGGATTCAGATCCCCAATGATTGAATTTTTAAAATAATTGAATTTATACATGTATATTGAAGCAATTAAAATATGCCAATAAGGATTTCAAGATTTGTTTATTTATTCTTTATTGTGTGTATAGAAGATTCTTTTTATAAAAAAATATTTATCACACTGTAATGATGATTTTTTGAGTTTGTACAATCTAGACGTCATAACGTTTTCATTTCACATGCTGATCGTTAAGTAAAAATAAGAGAAAGTAAAAAGATAATGGAGCGATCAGGATGCAAACCCAGGACTTCTAACATGTTAAGCAAGAGACATTTTTGGGGGGAGTGAGAGGCATACCACTATACCACGGTGCCTCTTTATTTTAGCGGAAATTATATGCAAACATAAATTCCCATGCATGTATATATTCATGTTCGATGTTGTCAAAATTTTACACAATGCACGGTGTCTAATTCAGCCTTTATTAAGCAGTTCTAATAGATGAAATAAGAATAAAGAGTCCGCCGACAATCTGTACATGTATTATACGTGATAACTCGCCACATGCCCCTGTGCTCAAAAAAGACATTTAATACAATAAAAATACTAATTAAACAAACGGGGCGGGACGATTTAGAGGAGTGAGAGAGGGTCTAGGGAGTTATGGTATATCATTTCATTGCAAAACCTCAAAATCTTCCTGAAAATCGACCGGAAACGATGGTGCTATACACAGACAGAATGAATAAATCTACGATGTTGAACTTTGACTCTTTGATCTCAAAATCCATAGGGGTCTTTCATAGGCCACAGGGATTTCTTATGTAAAGTTTGATTGCAAAAGCTCAAAGGGTTCTCGAGATATCGCGCGGAAACGAAAGTATTATAGCAGACAAAATTTATGAACTTATGACCTTGACCTTTGACATTTTGATTTCAAAATCAAAAGGATTCTTCTGTAGGCCATAGGGAGCTGCTATGCAAAATTTCATTGTAAAAGCTCAAAGGTTTCTTGAGATATCGTGCGGAAACGAAAGCGTTACAGATAGACAGAAAGACGGACCAACGGACGGACATGACAGGACAGCTAGACGGACGGACAAGACAGACGGACTGACGGACAGACCCGAATTAATATCTCCCACTTTCAGTGAAGGCGGCAGACAATTACATTTTTTTTTCGTTTCTTTGTTCAGTTTGATGCTTGAGTTTTTATTTCAATTATTCATTTTATTTATGATTATCCTTTATTTATTTTTTGTATTCATCCTTTATTGTAGATTTCTTTCATATTTGTATTTTAGGCAGGAAAATGCACATGTTTTGAAAATCTAGTTTCAACGAACATGTTAAATCCAAGTGAATGTAATGAAATATGTGCAGAAAATAAACAAGGTGTAAAATTTACAGAGTGCGGAGGAAGGAATGCATACTCAGTGTACATGGCAGGTATTGGAATTATTTGAGTCAAAATGTAATTTCATCTATATCTAAGCGTGTAAAAAACGAAATTATACGTATAAATATAATGAACTTACGTGTACAAACGTTTATAACAAGATTTAGAATATATACCCAAGTGTATATCAATCAGTTTTACTGTCTAGTTCAAACAATCCCGCGACGGTGTGGTCTGAATTTTCGGTTCATCACACTGTGGTTTTCTAAATTTTTAAAACCCCTCTCTGAAATTGATCACGTAGTAAATGTAAATTGTACAAAGAATCATGACGAAATTACAAATAAAATAGTCCCTTGGCAAATCCTCTGTTCTATGGGGATATATTCTATTGATCTCATTTTTTCTACATTATGCTGGTTGTTAAGGGGGCCAAAAAATTCTTTTCCATTACAATAATAACTTGATCCGAAAAGTCGTCGATTTTCGCGTCTTTGATCCTTGATCCGATGATCCGCGACTCTTCGGATCAAGTCACTGTAATATATAATTATCATGCAGATAAAACATACGTGAAAGAGGGAAAGTTCAATTATTGTGTTCTTTTTGTTTGATATAAAACGTATATAATTCATTTTTTATCACGGGGAAGGACCCCAACCTCAAAAAAAAATATCATACATCTTTTTTTGTTGTTGTTGTTAATTCATCTAATTTAGTATGTTCCAGAATTCATAATGCAGTTATAATCATTAAGAGCCATTCTCTGTAAGTATTTAAGGTAGGATTCTTCTCTGGTTTCTGAATAGATGAAATATTTAATGTATATTTGTCTATATATCTTATATTTATGTGAAAGAGAAAGACCGTATTTTGCTTTTCTCATCACAATTGTACAACTTTAAATAGAAATGGTATATTGAGTTTAAAAAGTAGCGAAAACTGGCGGAATGGTGACGCATGAAAATATCTTCTTTTCTGCCTCTCAAAATTATCATGAAACAACGAATTTAGTTATAATTCTTACACAATCAAAGACTTAAGTTTTTTTTTTCAAATGTTAGCTAAATTAACAAGAAGGGACTATAGTTTTAAAATATATCAAATAAATATGATTTTCCAAACAAACTACAATTATGTTAGCCTTTAAAATCTTCCATTCTAAGTACAAATATCGATATAATCCAAAAATCTGTAGAAAGTGTTTTGCTGTCTTAGTAAACGGTCAAAACTATTAATTTTGTATCATTTCGTATCTCTTTATGACTTCTTTACCATATGTGAAAATAAGAATAAAAATAAATATAGGGTGCATATAAAAATAACTTAAATATCCTGAAAATTTATGAAATATAGAGAAAATTCGAATTAGCCAAATTCCATTTTTGTTAAACTATTTGTGTCAATTTGGTAATATCATCTTATAAACCCTATGTGATAATATCTTTTTATGAAAAAAAATCTTTTGAAATAGAAGACCCTATTGAATAATCAGATGAATTCATTTTTATTCGTAATGTCTAGGGGTAAGGAAATGTCCTTGACCTGACCTTGACTCTAATATAAAACGGTCAAAACTTATCTAACTGATACCATCACTTAGTAATATTGTCTTCTCGATTCTGTGAAAATTTCATTAATTTTTAAACTTACAGTTTTGTGTGAGAAGAATACTACCCTTAACTCTAACTTACATTGGAAATGTGGCACGCTATGTCTTGAATTTTCATGAAACTTGGCCCATATTCCTACATGTTTATTGATGTATGAAACTGAAAATTCCAATAAAATGATTGCTATGTCCCGTGGTTACCGTGGCAACCAAAATATATTTTTCATTGCCTAAAAATTGCAAAATTCCGATGTAAAATTACCGTTTTTTGACTAATCAAAACTCTTTAATAGATCAAGATATTTACATGACTTTACTTTTTTGCCATAATGCATCATTTTATAGTTCTTTAGATAAATTTTAGCATTTCAGTAACTTAATTACCTCATAGAAAAAGTATCACCCAGTAAGATAGGATTTTTGGGGGGACAAATGGTAGATTTAAGGCTCTTTTGAAAAGCCTCGCATAATTTTGGCGGACTGTTGGGAAAAAAAATACATCGGTTTGAAAGTCAATACATCCTTCTAATATAAACTACAAAGAATCACTTGATATTCATATTTAGTTTTCATGTTACCATGGGTACAAATGTATGCTTTTTTGAAAAATCCGGACAAGGACAATATGTATAATTATACAATCAGTTTCCATATAATTTCCTGAGTATTTTAAAATTGTTTAAAACAAATTAAGATATATACTAAACAATAGCAAAAACAAAGAGAAAAAATAAATTTTCATGACTGAGGGTCAAAGGTCAAGGTAAAAATGACCGATTAAATGGAAATTTAAGGAAACTAAAGTATTTCATCCAGGGATGTGCTTCACGATGAGAAACCGCTGCGTGTTTTGATAAAAACGTCATGTTTGAAAATATTTTTGGTTTTGTAGAAAAAGACATAACAACAAAGACATATTGTTCTGCAGTAAAATGTGGCCCAGAGAAGAAATTCACCTTTTCCTCCGATTGTTCCGAATCGTATTTTGGATTGTGTAAGGAGAAAGGTAATATTTAAATCACTAAATACATATGCAATAAAAAAAAAAAAAAAAAAAAAAAAAAAATTGGCTATTTCAAGGCGTCGATGGATTTATTTTACTTTTAAATTCAGCATCATTGGCTAAAAGGAATAGCCATTTAAAATATAATGGGTTACACTCAAGATAAACTTTCTTAGAAAAACATCACACTTATATGAATAAAGTGCTTTAAAAAGTTAACAAAACAACAATCCAATAATCAATCAGATTGTTACTGAAATATCCTTAGCTGATGTGGATTCCAGTTTGCTCAAAACATGACCCTTAGGGTAATTGTGTCTACAATAGGAGATCAAATTTTAATATGGAATAAACAGGATTTTTTTTAATTCTTCATTAACGCAGAAATATCAAGAATTTTCACAATGATATGTACTTAAGTTATCCTAGTCATTGTTCTGTGAGGTAGGGTATAATTATCAAAAGGTATTAGAATATTGAAAATCCTTTTAAAAAACTAACAGACATATAGTGTCAAATTAAATCAAATTTACAAAACAAGTGATTTGTGGATTTTTTTTTTTTTGATTATTGGCCTTTGAGTAAGGGTTGGGCAAAATGATATAAAATTTTACATAATGCATGTGCGTTGGAGGGAAATTTCTTAGACGGAATGGGGGGGGGATGTCGAAGCATCCCAATACGTGGATTCAAGTTAGGTCCATGAAATCCACTGTTCTTAAGGTACGGGGCACAAAATGGGAACATTCTTTAATGGAAATACAACTGTAAAAAAGACAATTCTTTTTAAAATCTTTTGTCTAAAAAATAGCAGGACTGCATTGATTTGTGTAAGTGATGGCAGTCTCTTCTACTCTTCAATCCTTCTTTTTGACTCTAGCACATTTGCATCTCGGACGTTAGAATTAAGTGTATTGTACTTTATCCAGGATATTTTGTCACATGCAAAAAAAAAAAAAAAAAAAAAAAAAAAACAATCTTAACTGTAGCATCATTAAAAACTTTAACGCTTTATCTCTCTAAATGGTTTTAATAACATATATGTGAAGTCATAGAATGGATAAAAGCACGTGATAAAGACTTTAAAAAGTATTGGGAAAGATCTGAAAGAGACTTAAAACAGTCATGTTCGAAATGACGAATCATTCTTTTATGTAATACACAAAACACAAACATACATTGCAAATATACGAGGGCTGTTCGGAAATTATTGAGACAGTGTATATATTTTTCTTTTAAACGAACGTCTATCTGTGAAAATTTGCATGTACGTTTGACAAACATTAAGAAATCATAAAAACAAGATATAATTTACAAATATTTAATTTATTATCTTCAGTGGTATTAAAATGTGTCTACGGTAGGGTTACCCGGAGCAGTCACGAAAACAGATATTGAAAATATGTATCACCAACGTTCAATCCCATGGTGGATATATAATAAGAGTGAAAATAATTCAATTCATCGATACATTTTTTTTCAATTTCATTTTAATTCAATGTTGAGCAAGTTTGTAAAAATTCTGATTAGAAATATGGAGATCATTGAAATAATTAAGCGCAGTATAGAAATCTGAATACGATGACAAAATGGATTTTGACGTTAAGGCGGACCAGAGAGAGACATAAAGTTTTGTATAGCGCTATGGAAAACTCTTTTCAAGACTGAACAACCTGCTAAAACATTAACAACGGTAAAAACATGTCAAAGTGTTTCTTATTTCATATGTATGTTTTTTTTTTCTAACCTATAATTCAACCAAAGTATAATCAGATGCTCTGAACAATCGTCAATTTTTACCGCTACCGAATTGAACGTTCACCATCGTTGCATAAATCGGCACTGCATGATGCTAAATCATCCTGTACGTATAACGCATGAAAAATTTACACAAGTGTAGCAACAACACATTTGTTTGAAGAACCGTTTAAGAAAATAGACGGTTTGATTTTTGTATGGTATGTATGATAACAAAGGAAGCAGAGTAAATGCTTCCTAATCAGTTCACATGGGAAAACATTTCCGGCTAACATGACGTTAAAATGACGTACTGATGCTGCTCCGGGTCGATAGACGTATGCATGTTTATGATTTCACCAGAAATTATCTTATTATACTAGAAATTAGAAATTTTGCATAACTGTTTAATTTGTCCTTTGTTAAAGGTTGACGAATTTTCCTGAATTTATCACTTTCCTTTATGGAGTAAAAGGAAATTTCTCAATAATTTCCGAACAGCCCTCGTACATTAAGTATTTTACATGATACAATTTTATTTCTTTTTAAAACGCGTTTATGGTAATAAATTTTCCCTTCTAAGGAAGAAACTTTTCAAAATCATACGTCAGATTTGAATACTTTTAAATTATCCACTGAACAAAAATGAATTTGAACTAATCTATATATATTGAATTCCGAAACTTCATAAGAATCCTTACAAACAAAGATACAG